TTACTGTGCTCTGGCTGTGGACAGTCCCCTAGCTAAGCCCTAATTACCTCGCCAATTGGTTATCTCGATTAACATTTAAAAGGTTCTTTGTGGGACAGATTCTCCACTTGCAAGATTACTTTGAAGTGGAACATTTTTTTTTTTCTTTTAAAGTTGTTGGCACATTGCCGAAAGCTCTTACTGATTGAAAGCTGGACCTGCCTCTCTGGACTCTAATTCCCGGGGCGTTTTCCACAGTAGCTCCATATGCCTGCCAACACTGATTCTGTAGACTGCACAGAACTTTGCTTCCCATCGGGGACTTGCATAGCAATTTGTTCCCTTTCAGGTCCCGCCTGTACTGGTACAAAATGCCTGTGCAGAAACGCTGATGGAAATCCCAAAATCTCAGGGCTTAAATCTCAGTCGTCACATGTTAGGAGTGATGGGAGGGGACCACAAGTGCGAGCAGGATCGGATCACACCAAATAGCCAGGCCACTGTGTGCTGAGCTCCGACCACGCTCCACTCCTGGGGTGGTGATCAAAACAGAAAAAATAATAATAACTCGAGGATATGGTCAAAGGATCAGGAAACTACAGTATCATGTGAATTCTCCAGTAAGATATTCAGACTGCTTATATTTACATTGTTTTTAATGGAACCAGGGGGGTGATCCAGTTTTAAAACATAATCTAGTCTGCCTCTAATTTTTTAATCTGACAAGGTAAGTATTTTAAAGGAGATAAACATCTTTATAAAGTTGAAAAGAAGGGCTGGCCAGATAGCTCAGTGGACTAAGCACCTGCTTTGGCAAGCACAGGGACCAGGGTTCAATCCCAGGTCCTGCATGCCATGCCAGCCCTGCCCCTGAGGTGTGGTGAGCTGGTGACTGAGTCCAGGTATGGTAATCCCAGCACTGGGGAGGCTGAAAACAGGAGGATCACTACAAGTCCAAGCTGTGTAGTGAGAACCTGTACTAAATACATAAAATGAAAAAAATGAATAAATGAGGTTGAAGGGAAAAAACAAAGCATACTCTTTTTTTTTTTTTTTTTTTGGCAGAACCAGGGATTGAACTCAGGCCCTTGCACTTGCCAGGGAAGCGCTTATTCCACTGAGCCATCTCCCCAGGCCCTAAACATGCTCTTAACATACAATCCAGTTACTGTGCCCCTTGGTGTGTGCCCGAATGATCAAACTTTTGTGTCTGCCCGAAACACTACACAGAGATCTGTATAGTTGCCTTACACATAATTGCCAATCGCCAAATCTGAAATAAACCAAGATGTCCTTTAGGAGGTACGTGGATAAATAAACTGTGGCACAAATTCAGTGCTAAAAGAAAATAAGCTACCAAACTAAGAAAAGATGTGAAGGAACCTTAAGCACAAATCAAATGAAAGAAGCCAGCCTGAGAAAGCTACTTACTATGCTTCCAACCATATGACATCCTGGAAAAGAGAAAAGTATAGACATAATAAAAAGATTAATGGTTGCAAAAGACGCAGAGGGAAGACAAATCAGCAGAGCGAGGAAGCTAGCAGAGCGCGTGAGCTGCCCTGCGCTGCAGTGGGGGACTTCAGTCTTTGCAAATTTCTAAACCCCATCGAATGTCCCACCCCAGTGGTAAACCTTAATATAAGCTGTAGGCTTTGAGTAGTAGTATAGGGTTATTGATTGTAAAAAAAAAACACCAGAAAAAAAAAAAAAAAAAAAAAAAAAAAAAAAGCGCCACTGTGTCATATGATGTTGATGATGTTAAGATTTTGCTTTCAGGAGGATAGGGAATATATGAGAATTCTGTACACTTTCCAGTCCATCTGACTTTTAACGTAAAGTATTCTAAAAGTAAAATTTATTAATTTTAAAAAGTATGATAAAATACAGAAATCAAAATAGATAACTGTGAGCATTATAGAAATACAGTATAAAATGATCTATACTACTTGGTTCTTCAATCTCTGGGGTCCTCAAGTGCTGAGATTATTGTTGGGTATTGATATATTCATAGTATTTTATATAGTGTTGATAGTAAAGAGATAATACATAGATGGATGGATGGATGGATGGATGGAGGTTTGGGTAGTTACTGTAGCATAATAGAATTTCAGAGAAGAAAAAGTAGATCTAATGAAATTGCTTTGCCTTGGGCAGATGAACTCAGTGTGAAGAGGAATATCCCTTCCCCAACCATGCAGCACACAGTAGCTGTCTGCATACCAGAGCAGCATGACACTCAAGCATGAAGCAGATCAGAAATGTTTAGAGCACAGTGGAGGAGCCTGGAGCCTGATACATCTTAACAATGAAACTCTGGCTCTCTGGCAAACTAGAACTCAGCTTGTCCTTAAAGACATGGTGGAAGCAGTTACTTTTCAGCCCTGAGGTACAGAGAAGCTAACACAGGAGGTGGTATTTGTAGAATAAGCTACAAATGTTTTCCAGATCCAGAGAACACTTGGAGAGCACCCTTACCTGCACACCACTGTCCTTCCTCAGTGGGGAGCGTTGGTGCAGTCTATGAGCTGGGAGCCAGAATTCAGGCCTCACTCGAACTCCATGGAAGTTGTTAGATTGCTCCATGAGCTGGTGACTTCATAGGTGTAAAGCAAAAGTCTTTTCCTTAGGGTTAACCACCAAACACAACATTACTTTGGGCTCTTTGGTGATGATCAGCTACAAAGATGATGAGTCTTTCTGCTATAATAACTCAGCCGCTCCCCATCAAGACTGAGCCTGTTCCCTCAGTCTAGCTGCAGGTCACCATGCCAGGGCACTGGTTTTCTGAGTTTTAAGCCTCCAGCTTTAGTCCAGAGGACTAAAGAATTATAGAATGTCAAGGAGAGCCCCACAGCCTAGAAAAACTGTACAATCAGAATTAAACCATGAAACAGGAATTAAGTGTCCATTGACTCAGCAAATGATTCAGTGTAATGAATCTCTAAATTCTGTCAAAAATACAACTGTAGAAGCTTTTTTTTTTAGAAATAACCTTTCTAATATGTAGCTGACAAACACACAAAGTTTTTAGAGAACACAGTTTTCAACAACTTACAGAAAAGTATATTACTTTTTTTACTTTTTTTTTTTTTTTTTTGGTGGAACCAGGGATTGAACTCAGGCCCTTGCGCTTGTCAGGCAAGCGCTTATTTTACTGAGCCATCTCCCCGGCCCCAAAAAGTATATTACTGATGTAGATTACCTACCAATAAGGCCTAAAGTTTTCTTAACCAAAAAAAGACAGCAAAATATCAGATATTGTATTAATTTCTCCATCTGAATACAGTGGAAGCTCATGCTGGTCATTTCATTGCAATTTATGCATATTACAGATGGTGATTCCTTACTAAGAGAATTTTCTTGGAAAAATGATTCACATCCTGTCTGTCAGCCTAGTTATTATTCTGCTTTCACATTGTACTCCAAGTCTACTTTTGCCTTTCCATCTTAGTCATTTCCTGCTCTAAAGCCAAGACACATGGTGTCCCACCCCAAGCAAAGCCTCTGAATATTTCAGTTCATTCAGTTCCGTTCCTCGACAGACTTACCATGTTCAAATGTAATAGAAGGTCTCTTCTGCTTTGAAATTGCTGGTGGCTTTTTATGGTAATTTTTGTGGTAAGATCCACACCCCAGACAGCCTGGGTCTTGCCTGTGCTCACCTGTCAAACCTTTACCTCACCAGTCTTCTCCAGCCCATGTGGAGCAGCTTCCTCTCCCAAAGGAGGCCATGGCTCTCACTGTTGCCTCTACCTCCATCACTTTTTCCCACAGCCAGCTCTCCCCTGACCTTCAGGCCTCAGCTTCAGGCTGCCTCCTCAGAGAACAGCCTTCCTAGGCCTATTCAAATGAAGCAGCCCTTCCTGCCCTTCCCAGCCACCATCATTATCCCTCTCTGTTTTGTTTTCTTCACAACCTTTGTTATTTGTTTTCAGAAGTGCCCTGTTTACCTATTTGCTTATTTATCATTGTCTCCTCACCTTCTAAACACACTAAGGAAAAGAGAGTCTTTATTTCATTTGCTACTAAATTCCACTGGATAAATGACTAGATAGCCATGAAAATGTTTATTTTTAAATATTTATTTAAAATATTTATGTATTGATTACATATATATAATATATTATTTATAATTAAATATTTGTAAATATCCCTGAAGAGGTTTTTTTTCTTATCCTGCTCTTCCCTCAATGTTGAATATTGAAGTGGACGAAATAATCATTTTATTAAGTACAGGATCTGGGTTACAATACAGGAAGAAACTTGAAACTAAAGCATTTTATCTCTTTCTTGTTCCTCTCTGCACCATGAACATAGATGTGAAATACCACCTAAAATTGCCATAGATTCCTTAGCAAGTGCCTCCAGTTCCTTCAAGAAGAATGTTTTTAACTTTGGAACTTATGTCTTCTGTTAGTACTGGGGACTGAACTCAGGACCTTGTGCTTGTCAGGCAGGCTATTATGCTGCTGAGCTATCTCCCCAGTCCTTGGAATTTATGTTGGTATAGTAATAACTGCTGTAAACTCTAAGCTATAGTCCATAGTTCTCAAACATATACTTAAGCCATATGTATCCTTATGTTTGGGTGTTGGGATCTTTTGATTTTTCTTTTTTAACTCTCCTTCATCTACACACATAACCTCACTTTTAAGATAGCCTTAATATGGTAACACCCACATTAGATTTTGAAGTCTGACATGGGTAGATTTTCTGATGATCCAATGAGTGAGACACTTCTATTTCCCCCAGGACAGCTCTTTATTTCCACATTCTATTCAAATTTGCATTTATAAAAGATTTTGAAGCATTTACTGGGTAATAGGCACCACACTCATCTCTAACATTAAAATAGCCACTGCAGGGCCTTTGCTACTTGGCTAGCTTAGTCTGACATTGTAGTGTGAGGACTGACCATCGTAGAGCAGAAGACTTCTTCCCTACCTGTCCCCAGCAGTGGTCACCACCTTGTACACTCGAGAGGAGAACGATGCTCATGTTTCTGTGGTGTGTTTCAGCAACTGGGAAGTGTATACAGTATACTTGCCGCCATCTTGAATGTCGGAAACATTGAATTTTCTTCTGTGGCGACTGAACACCAGATTGACAAGAGCTACATTTATAATCATGTGGCTCTGGAGAATTGTAAGTTGTATGATCTTCCATTCAAAACTAAACTCTTTCAAGTCTTATACCTTAAGTGTCCCATAAGGATAATTTCAAGCAATTATACTCATATAGAATCCTGAAAAAGGTCCTCAGATTCAATTTGTGTAAAATGAAATTTTAGAAGTCCATTACTTGAAAACAGATTTTAATGAGTATGAACTGATTACTTTAGAAAACATTTCTGAAGACTTAGCCTTTATGACTGTTAGTAGTTATTTACATTTTAATGTGAAAACCCAGGAAAGATAGATAAAACATAACTAACTGATGGGGGAAAGAATGAAAATGTTTAACCTACAGATTTAGAACATAAATCATTTGAAAAGTAATAAAACTTGTATATTTTCTTACTGGATGAATTTTGTACACCCATTTGTCCTGGATTAATTAGATGTTTTGTCATTTTCTAAACATGAAAAGCATATCAGGTTATTACTTCAAATCAGGTTTTCTCTTAACAGAATTTGACAAATTATTCCAAATAATTTAAGGACTCTTACTGATATCTTCCAGAAGAATAGATTTTTTATGCCTTGTTATTTTTATATTTGCATATTTTTTCATAATTCTATATTTGTTATCTTATTCATAGCCTAAGGAATCATGATACAAATTTTTATGCATATAGTTTTTTTTCCTGAATCATATTTACTCAAGAACAGAATGAGAGGCTTTAGGGTAATATCAGAAAACCAAATGCTGAACATTCCCAGACCAGATTTGTTGTTCCTAAGAGCTCTGTCATTTTCCACTAACATATATGAGATCATTTCAGTGGCACACAAGACATCAGGTTATTGTAAGTGAAAGGAACAACCAGATAACTTTGGCAATTTCTCACCATAATTAGAAGAGATATCACAGAACGAGATGCAGTGGTGTTAGTTTGTCCCTAAGGTAAGTCAACCTAAGCAGAGAAAAGGTTTATTTGGACTGTGACTTCAGCATTTTCAGGCTGTGTTCACTTGTGCCTCGTTCCCTTGCTTTGGAGCCTAGGCAAAGACTCCATCATGGCAGAGAATGGGTGGTGATGCCAAGCTGCTCACCTGTGGGGGCCAGGAAGCAAAGATACAGCGAGGATAGGGATAGGTGCCAATGCCCTCTTCAAGGGCACATACACAGTGACTCTACTTCCATCCCTACGCACAACCACCTACGGCCTCCACCACCTCCCAGTAGCTCTGCAGGGTGGGGATCAAATGTCTCATATATGAACCTTTGGGAGACATTTAAGGTCAACACCAACAGTTGTAAATACGAGTAGACCTGCAAACAACAAAACTCCAGGATTATTTCAATGCATCTATTTCTATATAACAAGAGAGTCATATAGTCGCTGAAAAGTTAATGTGAGTATAATTATGATACTTTCTGGAATAGCCACTTTGGGAAAATAAATTTTATTAATTTAGATTAAAATGATTTATAATTAAAGTTAGAAGGAATTATTTCCAAAGCAAAGCCACATCCCCAAGTGGTTTTTATAAGTGCATTATTTCATTCAGGAACTAGTTCTGTTTGTTCTATCTTGTATATATCCCTCAACTCTTCCATTTCTCTGTATGTTCATCTTTACCATTCTTGGCCAAGGCAGTATCTCCTCTTCCTTCAACTAAGGAATCTCTCAATTGTTCGTTCTGCATTGATCTTTTCATCTCATTCTCCATGGTTAATCCAGCAACTCCTTAACAAGCTCTCAGTCTCCCTCTTTTTCCTCCTGCCTTCTCTTCTTCCTCCTTTTTTCTCCTCCACTCCCTTCCTTCCTTTCATTCTTCATTATCATTTTCCTTTCCTTCTCTAGGTATTCGACTACATAGAAATTAAACTCTCATATAGTACGTAAAGAAAACATAAATTGTTTGAATGCAAATGAAAATGAGAAAAAACGTTTGCAAATATAAAAACTTCCCTTTAAACTCTAAGGCAGTCATATAAACTGATTAGGAAAAGGTGAGCTCATAAATGCAACAAGGCAATTTACAAAGTAAAGACCATAAATCACAAATAAAAAGAAGAAAAGAAAAAATATTCAGGAACCAGGGAAATAGTTTAGTAGAATAAGTGCTTGCCTGGCAAGCGCAAGGGCCTGAGTTCAATCCCCTGTTCTGCCAAAAAAGAAAAAAAGAAAAGAAAAAGAAATAATACTCAGCTTTACTTTGTATAATTAAAAACACAAAGATGTGTTTCCTGTCAGATTGGATATTTTCAAAAATAATTTGTAGTATCCATGATTAAAATTCATGATCCATGTATTAAAATTTTTAACCTTTTGTTTGGCTGAGAGGAGTATGATTAGTTCAGTTTTTGAAGAAAAGTTAATTAGTTTATGAAAAAGTTGCTGAATTCAGGTGATCTTTTATGCCAAAATTATATACCCTCATATTTTTTACCGTGAACCTTTGGAAACAACCTCAATATATAAAAACATTTTAAATTATTGATATAATATGTTAGAATATGCAACAAATTAAAATGATTAAAACAACATTCAACAAAGTGAGAAGTACTTAAAATATTAAGGTAGTTTTCATGCAGAGTAAGTAATAGCAATAAACATGCCTGGAATGAAAGAAATGAATGTTAACTTTAAAGATAAAATTTTTGTAATAAGCATATTATTACTTCTACAATGTGAAGAAAATGTTTTAATGTTAAATCAACAACTTTAGCTACATAGCCAGAAAATATCTTGTCAAAATGTCTAAAAATAAATTCAAACTTTTGAAAATGTTTTTAAAACTACTGAGCTCAAAACTTACCTGTCATGCAGTTTTGGTTAGAGATGCTTATTACACCCAAAAATTCATAATGCTTTAACTGAGTTAAAGCATTATGAATTTTAAATCCTTCTTATTGGATTATTGGTAAATGTTAAGCAAATATTCATTCAGATATCAAGCTTTATCAAAACTTAGTGATTAAAATATGGAACTAAAAGAAGTATGATAAAGGGGTGGGGAGACAGCTCAGCAGTCTAGGCACCTGCCTGGCAAGCATAAGGACACAAGTGGAACCCGCCCACGGTCCCACATGCCATTCAGGCCCTGCCCTGGGCATGCCACCCACCAAGGCTGGGCGTGGTGATGCACTCCTCGACTCCCAGTGCTGGGGAGGCTGAGATAGGTGGATCACTACAAGTTTGAGCTGCATAGTGAGACTCTGTACCAAAAACATAAAATTTAAAAAAAGAAGTATGATAAGAGGCCCATGAACGTTGAGGTACCTTTATTCTCTCTAAATTGTACATTGCAGAAGGTAGTTCAGACCAGCTTGTGTGGTATAATCTGCCAACTTCTTATTAATTTCTACAGTTTGAAAATAATTATACAGTAATGGTCTCAAAATTATTCCAAATATAATCATCATTTTTTAAACTTGGTAGTAGGGATTGAACCTAGGACCTTCACACTGAGCTTCATTCCCAGACCGTTTTTACTTTCTGAGACAAGACTTTCTGAACTTCCAGGGCTGGATTCACACTTGTGACCCTCTTGCCTCAGCCTCCCACAGTGCTGAGATTCCAGGTATGATCCTGGCTTATGCTGTGAAATTACTTAGTCACTTCAGTGAAATTATGTTGACATCACATAAACAACTGCTGTCTGGTGCAGCTGTTTCATGGTGCCAGCCAGTTTTCTTTGGGTTATGTCGTGTTTTGCAGCAAGCATAGATGAACCAGTGGTGAAAAGGAGAGGAAAAACAATTAGAAGGAAACGCAAAACTAATGTTGAATAGCAACTTATTTTTACATTATAGAATCTTCACATATTCATCTCATGTCATCTGAAGGAAGTGAATTAAAACATTTTCACTTTTTGGAAGTGATCTCATTGCCCTGATTTCTTCTCACCATTCATCCGTTGATTTTGCAGCTGCTTCCCTGCTTTGCATTCAGGCAGATGAGTTACAGGAAGCTCTTACCTCCCACTGTGTGGTCACGAGAGGAGAGACTATCATACGGCCCAACACCGTAGACAAAGCTACTGATGTCAGAGATGCGATGGCCAAAACTCTATATGGGCGTCTCTTTAGTTGGATAGTCAGTTGCATTAACAGTTTATTGAAGACTGACACATCACCAAGGTAAAGTTTTTCATACAAACTTTTCTCCTAAATGTCAAGTGATTTTATATTTTTTTATTTATGTGAGTCCCTTTGAAGATGTTTTCAATTGGTATAATTTGTCAATGTTACATTTCAGTTAATATACATAATTTCTTACCACATCATATGCCACATAACTGGAGAAAATTTTAATTGCTGCAACATAAAAGCTGTACCAATAAGAATAACCACAATGGAAAGTGATTTTTTTAAAGGTGGTATCTTACCGTCATTGTATTATTTTAATTAGAAAGTATCCATAAACTCTAACGATTTTTTACTTGTGTAAAATATCAATTCAGCAGTCTTTATTTTTTGTTTCAAGGGTTTAAATTAAATCTTGAAGATAAGGAAAAACTTCCTTTTCATAGTTGAATGCTCACTGCAAGCCTCCTGAGGGTAGGCGTTATGACTGGCCGTGAAGTGCGGCACAGAAATGGTATCGAAGTGACAGATGAGGCTGGGGTATGGGTACAGAGGATGTGTGCCCTGAGGACGATGGCCTCCACAGCAGTAGTCGCTGTCTGGACTGTACCTAGATATAAGTCTTTGCATCTATATTAAAAGTTTGTTCTGCCATAAATTTTATGAGTTTTAGAGATGTTGTGTGTGGAAAAGCAAGATGGATGCTTGCCTTTAGATCACCCTATTCACACCTGCTAAGCATAAAAGATGATTTTATGCACATTTCAAGCATGCAGCTATTATTTTTCCATTAAAATACATCCCACACCATAACATTTCCCCATCAAACCATCTAAGAAGTTACCCATTATTCCTCTCCTTTTCTTAATGTGCCCCTCAAAATTGCTTTATTATCTACCTACTGAAGTTTACAAATCACAACCCAGTTGGCCCATTATGACCAAAACAGTCAAAACGATTTGTATGTTCATGTGTGGCCATCTCTACATATTTATATGAAAATAGAAAAATTCAAACTTTTTCAACAAGTATATATTTCATATACTGTAGGCAAGATAAAGATTTGATCTGACCTTTTAAAAATAATTTTATTAAGAAACAAAGAGCAGTGAGACAATTTCAAAACTGATTACTAGGACAGTTTCAATAATTAATACATTGCATATTGTTGTCTTAGTGGTTATTCATTATACAAGATACAGACATGTTATCCTGTCCATAAATACTATTAAAACAAATCTTTCTACCATTGAATTAAGAGAATGTAGCTGTATATCTATCCTATTTTGAATATACAGATACAACATGGTTGTTCATTTGTATCCCCCTTTTTTGTTTAGTTTTGTCAGAGAAGGGTATTACAGTGTCATTTAAATATTGTAGGTATATGAATTCAGCAAAATATTCCAATATAGTCCAGTAGTCCAAGAATAATAGTGGGTTTTCCATAAGACTGGCAATGTCAGAAGTTGTTGACTTGAGTCTTTTACAGCTCAGCATATTAATATGGCTTTACTTTTTATACTTCGTTTTCATACTTTTCTGCTGGATGGTTAAGACCAAGATAAGGCAAGACCTATAATCAGATGCAAATGTTACATTTCTTGTTATATAGGTCTTGCTATATCTTGGTCTTAACCATCCAGTAGAAAAGTATAAAAATGAGGTATATAAAGTAAATCCATATTAATACGATGAGCTGTAAAAGGCTCAAGTCAATAACTTTTCAGGTTAACCCACTAATATTATAGACTGCTAGACAGTGTTAGATTGTTTAGTTGAATTCAAACACCTACAGTATATAGATGCCAATAGAATATTCACCTCTGACAGGAAAAAAAAAAAAAAAAGGATACAAAGAAAAGATCATTTTGTATTTATATATATAAAATAGGATAAATTTACAGCTACTTTCGCTTAATTCAATGAGAAGAAAGAGGTGTACTAACAGTGTTTGGACAGAATATCCTGTCTGCTTTTTGTACTATGGATAACCACTAAGAAGATAACAATGTACAGTGTATTGATTATCAAAATGGTCCTATTAATCAGCTGTGAAACTCTCATTCATATTTACTTCTCAATAAAAAAATGGTTAGGATAGATATATAGTTACAATCTCTTAATTCAGTGAATAGAGGGATTTGTTCTAATAGTGTTTATAAATAGGATATCATGTCTGCATCTTGTACAACAAATAACCACTAGGAAGACAGTATGCAATGTGTTAATCATTGGAACTGTCCTACCAATTTGATTTGAAACTGTCCCATTGCTATTTGTTTCTCAATAAAATTATGGGAAAAAAATAAATAAAAATTAAAAACCCTCAAAAAAAAGACCTATTATACAAGAAATATAGCTTTTGGATCTGATAAGGTCAATCAGATTCCCTCAGGATTTATCCTGAAACCCTGTGCTGCAGTTTGTAGATCCTTTGTCAGTGTCAGCCATGTGGATAAGTCACGGCCATTGCTTGACCAATTTACTCTCTGTGAAAGCCTGACCTGACCTTTTAATTATCATCTGCATGCTTTGCACTGGGTGCTGCCTGCCCGGCGAGTTGATCTGAAATCCTATAATAGCCTATAGATTTTTAAAGAATTTTTTTACAGCAAGTTTTTAAAAAATAGCTTTAAACTTAAGTAGCCTTGTTTGATTCTGTCTAGATTTACACTGAGATTCTGGAAAGCCTGTGCCACATGCCAGGCTTCCCACTCACTTGTGTGAGGCTAGGTAAGTGGCTGCATTTTTCTGGGTCTTTCTCTCATCTGCTGTCAAATAACTCCACCAAATGACAAATTCGCATCTTCAAGTGTTAAAGCCTTTTAAGAACCTGTTAAAAAGCTTTATTCCAAAATAAAAACATGGACACATTTGTACATACTTAACAAATTATTGCACAGAGTTGCGATTCCAGATCCTTTGAAGGCCAGTAACAGATTTCCTGAACTCAGTTATCTCAAAGCTCCCTGTCACACCTAAGATGTTTTTAAACAGTAATTAAATACTTTATAAGATCTTATGGGCCAAGGTACTGAAAAAGCAGAGTAAGTTTCCCTAAACCAACATGAATCTTAACTAGACATCTTGCCTCAACTACTGTTTAAAATGGGAACTGTCAGAAATCCTCACCTGGTTTTTCCTTTGACCCTCCCACCACATCTTTTAAGAACTTTTTTGTCCTATCCTTTATAAATGCACATAACAATAATTTTGAGTGTGCGCATTTCTTAGAAGAGTGAACTTTGTGACCAAACAGAAAAGTGCACTTGCAATACTTCATTGTGAAATGCCATTGTATTTAATTGTACTTGAATGTATTTAATTGTAAAATAAATCCCATATATTTATATCTTTCTCCAGATCACCATTTGTTCTGGACTTTTAAAAAGCAGATAATCCAAAGATAAATGATGATTCTTCAAATAAGATCTTTTCAATAAGATTTTAAATTGTTTTCCTAAAGTGAAAGACTAAATATACTCCTTAATAGAATTACCTAAGATGCCTAAGGTCCTGTGTTCAATTTCTGGTATTAAAAAAGAGACAAAAAAAACAACAGTTTTACTTGAAGTGTGTGTTCTGGTAGTAGTTTCTTAGCTCAGTCGCATGTAGGAGCTCTGAGATACTTTGCCATAGCTCCTAAGAAAATAAACTATAACTGAAAAGAATACCACTTTTGTTCTTCCAGTGGGAGTGGTGATGAGCTGAGCATTGGCATTCTTGATATATTTGGCTTTGAAAATTTCAAAAAAAATTCCTTTGAGCAGCTGTGCATTAACATTGCAAATGAGCAAATTCAGTATTATTTTAATCAACATGTGTTTGCATGGGAACAGGTAAGTCAAGGTACTTACTCTAAAGGTGCATGTATGCGTGATTACACAAATGAAGCAGAACCAAAACCATAGGTTTCAAGCTTTCAGCATTTAAAAAGATGATGAAAAAAACCTGTCTTTTCTCCATGTCAGCAGTACAAACAAAAAGTGTAATATGAACTTCATACAACTTGATATGTGAGGTTAAAATTCTCTAGGTGAAAATCATTATGCTATTCACCGAAACCTCACATGCCTAAACTCTTGCAAACAGAGAAATTTTCTCTGAAAATGTAAGTAAACAGATGTGTCTAACAGTATCTCTTTCTGTAGAATGCATAGCTGGAATTCTGTTTGGAATTTCAACATACATCTAAAATGCATTAAACCTCAGAATTCTAGTAGCTAGGCAACAGAACACAAGATAATGGGTTGATGCAAATGCCATGAAGCAGCAATTTTGTCAGAGTACAATGTGTAATTTATGATTCAGCTTCAAAAATATTCTTCTGCAGAGAAAAAGAAGACTTACTTGAATTGCATTTGGCAAAACTGTCAAAGATTAAATTATTGTAGTAAAAGGGGCACATTTAATATTCAGTATGTCATTTGTCTCCAATTTACATGATTTTGCTTCATGTTTATGGATTGTAACTAATGTTTAAATTTAAATTTAGGTAAGTTAGAGGTGCATGAGCCTCTTTTTATTTGAAATATTAAGGCTTAGGGCTGGGGAGATGCCTCAGTAGAATAAGCACTTGCCTGGCAAGTGCAAGGGCCTGAGTTCAATCCCTGGTTCCACCAAAAAATAAAAAATAAAAATAAAATAAAATATTTAGGCTTACAGAGAATTTGTTTTGAAATTACATTTTTAAAATGGTGGTCATAAAAGAAGACATTTAGATTTTGACATGTCCTAAACCAAAACGGGGTCAGTAAGATAGCTCAGCAGAATAAAGCACCTTCTTAGGCAAGTTTAGGCAAGCACAGGGACCACAGTTTGATCCTCTGGCACCACATGCTGTGCCAGCCATGCCCCCAGGGTGGCTGAGCACACCAGAGCCTGGGTGTGGTGGCACATGCCTGTAATCCCAGCTCTGGGTAGGCTGAAAAACAGGAGGATCACTATGAGTCTGAGCTGCATAGTGAGACCCTGTAAGAACCAAATACATTTTTTTTAAACAAAAGCTTATAAATTTGAGCCTTGATATCTGTTTTTCCAGCTCTGTCTTACCTACATCAAAATTTAGGCTGTCACGTATTCATTCTTTCTCTCCCTCTCCTTTTGGTCTCCTCCTCTGCCTCTCTGTTGGCATCCTTCAAATAGGCTCAATATATAATGAAATCTCTTTAAAACCTTAAAAACAAAGAAAAAACAGAAACCACAAAACTCTTCCTTGCTCCTCTGTGGCCATGACCTGTCTTCCTGTCCCTCGTGGTCAAGCTCCTTGGCAGCATGGGCAACACTCACTGCACTTAGCGACTTCTGCCCCACCTGGTTGTGTTGATCACAGAGCTCTGGCTCCGAAAGTCTCCACTATAGAATGGCCCTAGTTTCACCAGTCACTAGTATGCCTTTCTCATTAGTCCATGAGTTCCTTTATATCCAGTATCATGTCTTAATTCTTTTTGTATTTTTCAGAGGCTGACATGTAAGTGCTCAATGAATATGAATTGATTTAATGGCATCTCTCTTAATTAGATAACTCAGAATATTTATAGAAACCATTGAAACTAGAGACTGAACTAAATATGCTTGCTTTGGTTTGGGCTTTTTGATATAGATCTGTTGGCCTACTTTTTAGACCCAGGTACATCCTCATGTATCTACCACCTGGTAAATTAATGGCTTGCAGGGGTAAAACTCTATTTTCTGGATGAGATTAGAATCTAAATTTTATTGCAACTAACCTTAAACCAATGTATAGATTTGTCAATGATTATTGTTATTTGCTTTTTATAGAATATAATATTTTTTAAATCACTTTAGTGGATTTTAATTTCATTCATAATCCTGATGTTCTACCTTTGTTTTTGGTCTTGGTACAGAAACTATTCTTTAAGGTCCTTCATAATATCCTTGAAAGGGACCAGGGAGATGGCTCAGCAGCATACACAACTGCCTGGCAAGCACAAAGTCCTGAGTTCGATCTCTGGCACCAAAAAACAAACAAAAAACTTAAGAAGCTTTCTAAACAAAACAACTCAAAGTTTCCCCCAATATGATTAAAACTTCAACTAAAGTCCAAGATTATACAAAGCACTCTGACAGACTCAAGGCATTCCTAATCTTTTCTGGTACCTTTCTAGACATTGTACCAAACATGGATCCGGATAATGAGCACGCAATGTGGTGGATACAGGATTATTCAGTGATTCGCTCAGCTTTTTTTTTTTTAATTTTGTTGTTTGTTTTTAATGTATTTGGTTGTTATAGAGTCTCACTATGTACCTCGGACTCACAGTAATCCTCCCATTTTCCGCCTCCCCAGCATTAGGACTGCAGGTGTATGCCACTACACCCGGACTCTGGCCTGCTCAGCCCACCCTGGGGACAGGGCTGGTGTGGCATGTGATGCCAGAAATCAAACCACAGATCCTGTGCTTGCCTAAGCTTGCCTAAGCAGGCTGTTTAGTCCACTGAGCTATCCTGCTGGCCCCCATTGGCTCAGTTTTAATATATGGTTACACATTTTTTTTTCCTTTCACTTTGTTACTTTCCTGTGATGGCAGGAAATGTAATTAAGAAATGCTTACTCTAACCTAATACATAAATTATCACAGTTAAAAGTACACTTAATTTATGTAAATGAAAGAGAAATCATCAATTAAGGTCATGGTCACGCTTCTTTTGGTCAAGCGTAACCTCAGGGTTGACGTAGCTGAGGGCTTCTGAGTTTAGGAGAGCCATTATGGCAGTCAGTAGGAAGTGGCCTACAACCTCACGGGACATAAAAATGGCTACATCTCACAGAGATACATTCTCACACCCTAAAGTTTAAAGCTTTTGAGAGTTTGAATGTGAGCGCCAACACATAATTTGTGACAATTACCAAGAACAGAAATTCATTCAATACCCAATACCTGTGTTTTCACTTTTTTTTTTTTTTTTTTTTTTTTTTTTTTTTTTGGTGGAACCGGGGATTGAACTCAGGCCCTTGTGCTTGCCAGGCAAACGCTTATTCTACTGAGCCATCTCCCGGCCCCTGTTTTCACCTTTTACAACATTAAGGGTAACAAGAATCAGTCACCTGATTAAAGACTGGGCAATTAAAGATAAACCTCTGATAAATATCTTCAACTTGTGTCCTAAAGTGCAAACTTCTAGATGTTATGTCCTAATTTCTTTCCTACTAAGTAACATGTGTACTGTGATGATAAGATTCGTCTTCTTTTAGCTCTCTAATAAAAGGTTTATCAAAGGCACTTTCTTTAAGCCAAAACATTTAGAATTCCTTAATATAACAAATCTTCACTTTTAAACATGCAGCCAAGTGTTTGGTTATCCTTTGACCTCACATCAAAATATTCCTTATGCTTCTCATGCACTGAATATAGAAGTTAATTTCCAGATAACTAAATACACTCAGAGCCTTGCAGCCGCTCCTAACAGGAGCATAACTTCAACTTCCTGTAGCACAGCCTCTCCTTTTCCATGGCCTGAGCGCCTGCTTAGCATTCATGCTGCTCACATAATCTGTTTCTCTTTCGTTGATGAAGCTTGGGCTGGGATATGGCTCAGTGGCAGAGCTTTGGCCTTGGAAAGAAAGAAAGGAAGGAGAGGGAGAGAGACAGAGGGAGACAGGGAGACAGAGACAGACAGACAGAGACAGAGACAGAGACAGAGACAGAGACAGAGACAGAGACAGACAGAGACAGGCCAGAGCAGCATTCTTCAATGTAATGTGAAGATTCGTGGCACTTATTTTGATCATATTTTACATTTTAAAATTTCTGATAAAATTTCAATGAAATAAACACCTAACATCATAAATCCATACAATTGCTATAGTTTTGTACGTGTGAAGTGAAAGCATATATTCGCAACATAAAATAAATTTTGGCAAAAATTTGAACACAATATTAAGGAAGAAATAAGGTAAAAGATATCCAGGAATATTGCATTTCTGAATTCCTAATCCAAATATCTTATTCTAAACTGATACCTCTCAATAGAACATAAACTTATAAAATCCTATATAAATTTTGAAGAGTTTCAAGGCTAGATATCGTGTACTACAAGTTAACAGACTGAGGTTTTCATTTTGAAATGTGTTGTAGTTATTCTTTTCTGAAGAAGAAAGTTATTATAGAGAGCAGTATCCTCAAACTCAGTGCTCCAAAGTTCAACAAAATCTTTGTAAAATAAAACATAGATATTTCTTTAGGAATTGCCCACAATAATTTATCATGGCATTATTTATCATATACTGATTCAATGACTAGTGTCATCCTGGCTTAATCATAACATTTCCTGAGACTCTCCACTGACATTAATACAAAAACTAACAGGATCGACAAAGTTTAAAACATATTACAGTAACACATACATACCCATGTTTATAGCAGCATAATTGACAATAACTAAATCTTGGAAACATCCTATTTGTCCATCAATAGATTAACAGCTAAAGATAATCTGGTATTTATATACAATGGAGTACTACCTTGCCATAAAGAAGGAAAAACTTGAGTCCTTCATAGGAAAATGGATGTACCTTGAGACCATAAAGTTAAGTGAAATGAATCAATGCTGTATTAGGGCTTAAAATAGCTTCCGGGACTGGGCAAGACTCCTCAAAAGACTGTACATTCTCTGAATCAAATTCAATGCAGGATACAGAAAATTACAAAATTGACGTACAGTGGCCCCACACAGAGTCACATATAGAAGATCTGTCTGTGTTAAGATCTGCAGGGCCCAGATGAAGGCTAGGGCCCTGGCGATGTCCTGTAGGAGTCCACAGCAAGAGGCCAAAGGATTTGTGGTAGAAGCATCAGTGCTAGATGCTAAAGAGGCTGCAGCAGAGGTGGAGAGGCCAGTGCTAAAAGCTGCAGAATCTGTTCTGAAAGCCAGGAGAGGATGCCCAGGGCAAGACCAGAGTTCTTCCTAGGAATGTCAGCTAAAATCCTTCCCTCCTGTTCTCATTTTATACTGTTCTGACAATGATCCTACTTCCAGTGGGTTCTCCATGCCCAGAACCATGATAACTCATTTCATCTGAGCATTCCCCACTCAAGTTGACAATTAGTCAATTAATTAATCACCACAGATGAACAAGCTTAAATATTGTATAGCTTCTCTTATATGAGAAATCCAAAATATAAATAAACAGCATAAGAAAAATGGATACTGGAGCCAGCGAGATATCTGAGCAGTCTAAAGCTCCTGCTTAGGCAAGTTTAGGCAGGCACGAGGGACCACAGCCACATTTCAATCCCTGGCACTGCATGCTGCACCAGCCCCACCCTCAGGGCAGGCTGAGCTGGCCAAAAAAAAAAAAAAAAAAATGATGTATATAAAGAAATAGGGAGGAGGGCCAGCGAGATAGCTCAGCGGACTAAGCACCTGCTTAGGCAAGCACAGGGGCCTGGGTTCCATTCCTGACACCACATGCTGCACTGGCCCCACTCCTGGGCACACTGAGCTGGTAACCAAGTCTGGGCATGGTAATCCCAGCTCTGGGGAGGCTGAAAACAGGAGGATCACTACTAGTTCAACATAGTGAGACCATGCACACAAAAAGGGTCGGGGGACAGATTGATCTTTTGCAAATAGATAGGCCATCGTGAGATTAAGGGAGAGAATAATAAATTGACATGTGTCATGTGCCGGTACCAACTTCCCATGAGGATTGTGGTCATTATGTACTACAAACATACAAAATAAAAAATAAATTTGAGAAAATCTGAACACAGAGAAGAAAAAGTTTGTTTGGGGCTGGGCAGATGGATTAGTAGAATAAGCGCTTCCCTGGCAAGTGCAAGGGCCTGAGTTCAATCCCCAGTTCCACAAAAAAGAGAGAGAGAGAGAGAGAGAGAGAGAGAGAGAGAGAGAGAGAGAGAGAGAGAGAAAGAAAGAAAGAAAGAAAGAAAGAAAGAAAGAAAGAAA